AAAAAAAAAAAAAAAAAGACTGAAAATGAGAGATTAATCTGAGACATGAATGAAAGGAAGTAGAGTCCAGGTTCTGTGTAGGTAATATGGCCTTTATTCACTCTGGTGCGAATGGGCTGAGTTCAAAAAAGAAGTCAGCATGTCGACTAAGGTGGGTGGGAATATAAGAGTTTGGAGGGATAGAGATTGGCACATTCCTTCCTTCCTTCCTGGGTGGGACGTTCATGCCCTCATTCCTTCTGGGTGGGACGTTCTTTCCTGGGCAGGATAGTCCTATTTGGGTGAGTCCCTACATTTGGCCCTATCACCCACACCCTGGTGTGCAGAGTCAGCTCCTTCTGAGCTCTGAGGGTGGCACAGCAGAGCTTCCTAGGCACTGGTAGGATGTTCCTCTCACCTGACCTCTTATTTTACCTCTTCCTCAGGTGGGCCAATGGCCTTAATGATGAGAAGACACTGACTATACCCCGAGATGCCCAGTTCCAGCTGGAGACCTGCCCCCTCACAACTGTGGATGCCTTGGGTAACAGCCTAACCCTGGTCCCCAAACTCCCCTCCCTGGGCTCTTAAAGGTCACCACATCCTCAGGAGAGTTGGGAGGGGCAGCATCCTGGGATGGCTGGGCCAGGGGGACTCAGTGGACTACTTCCTGCAGTCCTGCGCTTCTTCCTGGAATACCAGTGGTTTGTGGATTTTGCTGTGTACTCTGGCGGCATATACCTCTTCACAGAGGCCTACTACTGTGTGTTCAGCCCAGCCAAGGAGACCAACATTGCCGTGTTCTGGTGCCTGCTCACTGTAGCCTTCTCTCTGTATCCTTCTCGTTCTCTGCATAGGGCATGTGGGAGCAGGACTCAAGCTTCCCGGTCTCCCCTTAAACTGGTATGTCACAAATTTTCCCCCAGGCTCAGCGGCATAAAGCAGCTGTTTTTTGTGCTCTAGCTTCATGTGTGAGTAGTCTTGGCTGGGCTTAGTAGGTTGGCTCATCACTACTCCACATGGCCTTGTCCTTTGGTGGCAGCAGAAACCCTACCATGCAAAAGGCAGTGGTTTGCCCAAAGTCAGCCCACTCCCATCCCTGTCCCTTCCATCACATTCTCTGTGTCAAAGCAAATCAGTTGGCCAGCTGGAATCAGGAGCTGAGAAAGAGATGCCCCCTCTGCAAATTTTTTATTAAGCAGCATAGAAAGCAGAGGCAAATATGTGGTTTTGGGGACCCAAGTCTGAGAACATATAGTAAGAATAAAACTCCTGTCGGTGGGCTT